CATGTTCTGTGAACTAGTGTGTGGTCTACCTGTGTGTAGCCAAAAAGAATGCATATTCTGATTTTGTAGGGTGGAACACTCTGTAGATGTCTATTAAGTCCATTTGTTCAAAAGCTTGGTTCATTTCTATCATTTCGCTTTTGATTTTTTTTGTCTTGATGATATGTTTATCTGTGACAGTGGGGTATTGAGCTCCCCCCCATGACAATTGTATTAGTGCTTATTTGGTTTTTCATGTCCCTTAATACTTGTTTTGTATAGTTGGGGACATTAGTATTTGCTGCATATATATGTTTATGATTGTCATCTCTTCCTCTTGGATTGTTCCTTTTACAAGGATGTAGTTAGTGATCTTCTTTGTCTTTCTTAACTAGTTTTGGTTTGAAATTTACATTGTCTGCAAATAAGATAGCTACCCCTGTTTTTTTCAGGTTCCTGTCACATGGAGAACTGTTTCCCATCCTTTCAACTTCAGTCTCTGAGTTTCTTTTTGTTCGTTTGTTTTTTTGGTACCAGGTATTAAACTTCGGTCCTTGGGAGGTGGTGGCACCACTGAGCTAAATCCCCGGCCATATGAGTTTCTCTTTGAATTAGGTGTGTTTCTTGTATACAGCATATTGTTGGATTTTGCTTCTTAATCCATTCTGCCAGTCTATTTCTTTTGATTGGTGAATTGAGGCCATTAACATTTATTGACTCATATCTATTGAATTATCATCATCATGTTATTTTCCTGTTATTGGCTCTTTTTAATTTTTTCCCCCTATACCTTTAATTTCTTGTTTTTCCTGCTGGATTTGCTCTGTTGGGCCTCATGGAGTTGTGATCCTCATTGCCTTTTACTAGGATATTTTTAAAAATTGTCTGAAGTGATGGCTTGGTATTCATGAGGTTTCTTGGGTGTTCTTTTTCATGGAAACATCTTATGTCCCTGTTGATTTTGAAAGTAGTAACAGAAAGTAGAGCAGTAATTATTGGACTTTGACAAACTTCTAAAGTAAGAAAAAATAGAAAAGGTATCATTTTGCTGTTTGCAGAAAATATCCTGTTATGTTTCCCTTCTTCACTGATAAGTATGTCCTAGTGAGATATCATGGGGTTTACAAACTCTCCCAAATATCAATTGAGCATACCACAAGGGGTTGAGTACTATAACTGCTGATCCAGAAGGAAATTTAGACAGCCAAACTTTATCTTCTTGGTGTCCCTTCCATGTGATCTTTTCACTATATAATGTCCATCACAACACTTAAAAGCAAATAAGTAGTAAATAAATACGAACAATTTCTTGCATAGGCTCAAAATTTCATAAATGCAATGCTCTTTCTTCACTTCTTGACCATTAATTTTTGCTTTATTGCTTGATGTTCTGCATCAGGACACCATCTCCCAGTTACAGAAATCACAAAGCACAACTCTCTGCACAACTAATACAAAAAGAGGTTTTATGGCTTTTATCTAGATGTCCCCTCATGCAGTCTTAGGTGGGGCTTTTTCAGAGGTGGCTGAATCTAGAGAGTGTGATTGATTCATAGTGGGGTTAGGGCTGAGGGAACCAGGATTAAGGACTTGAGTGCTACACCTTAAGTAGTCTGAATAAGATGAAAAGGGCAAAAAGATGCTATTAATGTCCCTTGTTGCTTTGGTACCTTCTGGCACCATAAATTGTTTCTCCTCCATAACTCACCTCTTCCATGTGCCACTCTGCCTTGAAACCAGCTAATTACGGACTGGAGCCTCTATAAACTGTGAGCCAAATAAACCCTTTCCCCTAAAATTTTGGGTGTCAGGTATCTTGTCTCAGCAACTGAGAAAAGCAATACAGAATTTGGTACCAGAAGTGGGGTTCTTGCAGTGACATTACCTAGCCATGTAGCTCAAGAGCCTTTGGAGCTGGTTTGTGGGAAAAGTTAGGAAAAGTTTAGAGATTCTGGCTGAAAAAGTAGAACTGGAACTCCTAAGGCTGTTCTTATGGGAGATTCTGGTCAGACCTCAGAAGAACAGAAAGCTGGAAAATACCAGGCTCAGGACGTCTGTCAAAGTAGAATTTAAGACCAAGTGACAAATTAGGAGAAGGCATCATGGTAAAGAAAAAAAACTTTAAAGAGTTCTTATATGAGATCAAATACTTTATATGTTTATATCTGTACCAATTTCTTCAACAAAAACCTGGACTTTTAAAATTGTGATTTAAAAAGTCAGGTTTGTTTTGTTTCCATATGTTGCAATCCTAAGAATCCAATGTATGACCTCAATAAACAAGGTATTTGGAAGGTGACAGATTCAGGAAGGCAGAACTGTTAGCACTAAAGTGTCTCCTGACAAAAGAGGAGTGCCGTTCTCCCTGGCCCCTTCTTCCACAGGATGGCAGTAAAAATTGAACTATCTCTGAAACATAAAATCAGCTCTCACAAGACACGAAATCTGCCTACCAGTGCCCTGTTTTAGACTTCCCGCATCAAGAATTGGGAGATACAATTTTTGTTTGTTTGTTTGTATATCAATAAAATGTTGTGATTTTATTACCATTCGATAGTATAGGTCAAGTAGTAATAGAAGTAGAAAATAGCTTGATGGTCATACTGGTGAAAATCTATGTCAAAGCACTGGAAATTTACCCTCAGAATCTTCAAACATTTTGTGTATGAAAAAGACTATTTTACCCAGAACATAACAAAGTGCTGGTTGCTTTTTGCAAAGCACCCTTCACATCCTTGCTTCTTAAAGTATAGATCAAGGGATTGAACATCCAGATGATGACTGTGCAGAACACAGAGGCCATCTTGTCCAAGTCCATGGAGTAACTCAAGCTATGAAAAATTTCTTTGAATTTAGTAGTTTCCGAAGACTTTCAAAATCTGGAATTATTCAGAATAGAAATGTAGATTTGAAACATACACTGACATCCAAAATCATTTTCACTTATTAACAAATTTATTCAATTCCCTAATGGTAATTACAAAGGTCTATAACAGCAGTGGTAAGCCTGTGCTGTGGCACATGTATCACAGTGAACATACAGAGCTTCCTCTGTGATGACACCACAAGTCGTATGAGTTATGTTTTCTAAACTAAAACCTCAGTATACTGGCTTAATTGCAGTGTTAGCACTTTGTGATAAATAAGTACGCTTTGGGTTGCAGTTTGAGCACCCAGTCTCTAAAAGGTTAGAGTAATGGCTTGGCCTGTAATGACTCAGAAATATGGAACATTTTAATACAATGTAAACAGAATTAGGCAAGAGGTATTCAAAGTTTTAGCACCAAAACAATATCAATGTTTTTATTTATATATTTTATTATTAGTAATATAGCATGATAAATTTGACTATATTGTATAAATATGAATAGCTATATTCAGAGATATAGCATGGCTTGTGATATTAACAATAAAAAAATTATAACCAAAAGGGGAAGAACTGCTAAACTAGCCTGGAAAAGATGTGTAAAAGTGAAAATTAGAGAGATGATAGTTAAACAAGCATGACTGGACAGGGGAGAAAATGCCCAATATTCTATTACTAAAGGTTTCACTATTAGTAGGATTCCTGTGAGTGACAGTAGTTAATGAAAGTTTTATAACAGCGATTAAAGAGGATTTTAAACTTTCCCAATACAAAGACATGATAATATCTGAGGTAATGTGTGTGGCAATTATCACAAGCTGATCTTTACGTTTTGTATGTACATGAGATAAATTATTCCATAAATGTGCAATTACTGTGCCAATTAAAACTATACAATTTTCTTAAAGATTACATAATATAATGGTGATTAATTTTAATTGTTTATCTTGTGATCTCGAGAGAATAGAGTAGTAAATTGTCTCTCAGGTTCATGTCTCCAAGGTTATAAACACAGATATAAAAAAGCACATATCACTTTTGGCCAAGAGAGATCATAATTCTATCATTTGCAGGTTTGTTTAAAGATTCAAAGCTAATATTGATTAATTTCAATCAGGAAAGCAACTTGAGAGTGGGAAAATTTATTCCTCTAGAACTGGAATGTTGAGTAATACAAGGATATTTTCATTTCAGTCTTTGATATAGTTAATTATTTCTGATGGAAATTTTTGGTTAAGTATCTTTCTCCTGTGTTTTATTTTTATACTTCACTCTAGTATATCTTTGAGATAATTATAACAGCACTGGACTATTTCCCATAGGCTTATTTTCTAGTTTATTCACTAACTGAAAATGTGATCATTAACAAAGGAAATTTTCATATACTTAGAAAAAATACCAGATTTTGGCAGAGGAAAAACAGATACATGGCTAGGAATTTGTGGATCTAGACATAGATGTGTGGATTTTTCTGCACTGGTCTTTGGAATAGCAAGAGTGTTTCTCTGGGTTCTATTTTGTAACCTCTAGAATAAGGAAGTAAAATCTTTCAATCTCTTATTTTATTATCCTTTGGGCAATGCGCAAAGATGGATAATTACACATCCCTGAGTTGAAGAACTTACTATCTAAAACTAAGATGGATTTTGAAATCAATTTACTGGATCAGACAGGGACACAGATTGAAGGCCAATATATAGCTATAATAAAGATAAAACATTTAGTTTTATGGCAGTGGCACTTAATGTCAGTAAATGAACATATGACATAAACCATATATCTGTTTTTTCTACTGATTGCAGGACTGAGATAATCAGTAATCATTTCAGGATGATATTTCATGAACTGATAAAAGAAAGTAGAAAGTATTATGTGAGAGATTAAATTTAAGTGAAACAAACACATTTTCTACATATGCAAGTACCAAAAAATACACTTGATAATTTTAAATTCAATCACTTTTATTATCTTATCAAATTTTAAGTTACTGTTATTTAAAATGTTACCCATGTATTTTATCTCTTCTAGTAACCAGGTAGTTTCTGAAGGATATTTTCATCATCCTCCAGATTTTAAAGGGAAAGTAAGCAATACCCCATATGTTCTCACTCTCCCTTTCATTTTCAGACTAAATTTCACATTTGAACACACAAAAACCATGTGGCTGTCAGATAGAAACCAAAGCGGGGCCATGTTCACCCTCCTGGGCTTCTCAGATTACCCAACACTGCAAGTACCGCTCTTCCTGATTTTTATGGGCATCTACAGTATCACCGTGGTAGGAAATATGGGAATGATTGTCATCATCAAAATTAACCCCAAACTGCACACCCCCATGTACTTTTTCCTCAGTCATCTCTCTTTCGTGGATTTCTGCTACTCCTCCATCATCGCTCCCAGGATGCTGGTCAACCTAACTGCAAGCCACAGAAGCATTTCGTTTTCAGGATGCATAGCACAATACTTTTTCTTTTGCACCTTTGTGGTAACAGAAGCCTTTTTATTAGCAGCGATGGCCTACGACCGCTTCGTGGCCATCCGTAACCCCCTCCTCTACACAGTCGCCATGTCCCAGAAGCTCTGCGCCATGCTGGTGGTGGGGTCGTATTCATGGGGATTGTCTTGTTCCTTGACACTGACATGTTCTGCTTTGCAGTTATCTTTTCATGGTTTCAATATAATCGATCACTTTTTCTGTGAGTTCTCCTCACTGCTCTCCCTCTCTTGCTCAGATACTTATATTAGTCAATTGCTCTTGTTTGTTTTTGCCACATTCAACGCAGCTGGCACACTGGTCATCATTCTCTTGTCTTATTTGCTCATTGTGGTTACCGTCCTCAAGATGCGTTCAGCCACGGGGAGACGCAAAGCCTTCTCCACCTGCGCCTCCCACCTGACGGCCATCAGCATCTTCCACGGCACCATCCTGTTCCTCTACTGTGTGCCCAACTCCAAGAACTCCCGGCACACGGTCAGAGTGGGCTCTGTGTTTTACACCGTGGCGATCCCCATGCTGAACCCCCTGATCTACAGCCTGAGAAATAAGGATGTGAAGGACACAGTCCGCAGATTAATGGAAATGAAATTCTTTCCTTATTGAGCATGGGATTTCAGTTGATTTTGGCTCTGGTGTACACATCTTTTTGATAAAGGTTGATTTAAGGATGTCATTAAAAATTAAGAGTTCATTTTGTGTAGTGGGAGAGAAACAGACTTTGCTTTCGAGACACACACTGTAGCTATGTCTTTTACTGTTGAAAATGTCAGTAATTCTGTTGATCTTTAACCTTTTATCTGCAGATTTGGTATTACATAACATAGTTTATGATTTGATTATAAAGTTGACATATAATGTAAATATCATGTCACATATCTTATATAATTCAATAAATGTTAATTCCTTTCCTATTATTTATGAAATACCTGAAGTTGACTAGGCTTTCAAAACAGAATTATGTTACAAATGTAGGAGTATAGGTCAAATATAATTCTTGTCTTCCATGATGCAAAATCCATTGTTGATGGAATGCCAAAGAACATTGTGTAAGAAAATAAATGTCCTAAAGAAGGGAAATTTCAAAGCCACTACAGGATTTGTTTAAGGATGATTTTACTTAAAAAAAAAAAAAAGCTAATGAAACCTGGCCATTAAAAAAAGGGCGGAGATATTCCAAATATATTTAAGTAGGAAAGGAATTTAATTTAGCACAAATAAAATGAAGATAGTAAAGTAATACTGAGCTAATAACTCAATAAGTACTTTTGTGTGTTTGTGTATATAATTTTGTTTGTTTGTTGGCATGTGTTATTTAATGTACACAGATTAATCAGAATAAGTAAAATTTAATTAAGATGTATTCTATTTCCTGAATGTGTTTTAAATGTGTGGCCATGTTGTAATCTATGATAGATATCACAAAGTTCATACGACTGATAGACTGAATCTGAAACAATGTTATATGCAAAAGGAGGTTTATGTGCTTACCTATCCTACATTATTTCATGAAGATATCACAAATATTATAATTCTTTGTGATTTTTAAACTTTATGCCTAAGATCAGAATCCTTCTCAATAGGACTTCTTCTTTACCTTAAAAAGAAAATATTTGCCATTTTCTTAACAGTTAAAAAATAATTTTCTGTGTAAACTTCTTCAAAATAAAATGGAAACCAGGCATCAATTCTCATTTTTCATAAATGATTAAAACGGGACCAGATTTTACCTGAGTAACTCACTTTCACTGAAGTGACTTGTATAGACTTACCCTTCTATTTACTCTTTCTGTATAGATGAAATTTTACACAGTCGTCAATACAGTGATAATGATAATACCTGTCAGCAAGAAATGCAGCCAAGTGGACAAGTGACACACTCATTTGTGGAAACTACTGGAGACAACTGAAATGTGACCCCAGGGTTGTACTCTTATAAGTATGAACTTCACCTAAGAGCAAAATAATATCTCAAAGCTTCCCTCACTCTAGGTACACATCTAGAAATGTGAGCAAAGACTCATGCGGTCATAGGTGGGGCCTCTGCAGAGGTAGGTGCGTCTACAGCGTGTGACACTGGAATTGATCTGTTGTTTTTGTCCGTGAGCCCGCTCATGGAACAAAGGTTCATGAACTTGGACTGGGAGGGCAAGGTGTGGAATCACCAAGAAGACTCCGGGGAGGTTTCTGGAACGCTTCCACTTCAATAAGCTCAGCCAGCAATTTATAAAGTTTTGAAAGAGGGAGTGGCAAAGGGGGAGTAATATATTTGCCATAACAGGATTGGTTATTGGAGTGTCCTTAGACGGGCGATGGACATCCAATGAAGGGGGACGGGTGAGGCCACAGCTGGACATAGACAAGGCTCAACGCACGAGCTAGGCCTCTACTAGTGTGCTAGGAGACACACTTGTGGTGCACTTGTCCCAGCCAGACTTGTACCTCGCTTACAAATGATCCATGGATTAAGGGGCCCTAAGTAGTCTGGATAAGATAAAAGAAGCAAAAAGATGCTATTCAGGTCCCTCCCTTACTTGCTTTCTTTTGCTGTCTTCTGCTTACAATGAACTTGTTTTCCTCTGCAATGCCTCTCTGCTAAGCTACTCTGCCTTGAAGCCAGTTGATTATGGACTGAAATCTATTGTGAGCTAAATAAAGCTTTCCACCCTTAACTCCCAGGCATTGGGTATTTTGTCTTAGCAAGGAGAGAAGTAACTACCACAAGTACTTTGGGGATCTCTTCAAAATGCCTATTAATGGGTGTAACTATGAAAGTCAAGCCCCCTCTTTTAGACATCAACTGTGCTGAATGTTAAAAAGGGCTACATATGTGTCTTGCCATATCACTTTTGGTCCTAGAAACTGCTCTTCACTTGAGTTGGCTTGTTGGCGATCCTATTACTTTTATTTCTATTTTAATCTATTTTTCAAAAATCTGTAGGTGACTACTTGTTAGGAAATTTTTATTGCACCAGTATCAGTGCCCACAAATTTCCATGTTTTCTTTGATTTTTCATTTGAAATTTTCCATAATAAAAGTAAATCAAATCATAAAAATAAAAATGAATCAAAGTTAAGTGGCAATATCCTTCTTGAACAAAGGTTATCCTTATCTTTCCTGTTTCATATAATTAGTCATCTACTGAAACATTTTGGATTCTTTTACAGATAACTAAATCCAATAAGCAAAATAATAACTGAATTTAAAATTATATTATACATCTATCCCATAGTGTAAATATAATATTTTTTTCTGAGTAAACAGGGATATATGTCTTTTGCAAAAGGGAAGGTGAACAAGAGATGGAGGGAAGTGAGGGACGGGATTAAAAATAATTAAGATGAAAAGGAGCTAAAGGTGTAGGGAAGGTGTGATACGTAGGGGAAGAACAAAAAGGGAAAAGAAAAAAAATGTGAGAGAATGAAAAGATGAAAATAAAGTGTTTGTAGATGGGGAGGGGAGGAGGGGGTGAAGGGAGGGCAGAGGTAAGGGGAAAAAAATGAGAATCAAGACTTGCCATGTAAAGGTACATGATCCCAACAATGAATGTAACTGTACTGTATCCCTAAATGTACCAATAAACTCAATAAAAAAAAAAAAAAAATAATTAAGATGTATTATGTATGTGAAACAACTTCCCACGATGAATATAATCATTACATATTGCAAACGTGTGCTAATAAAAATAGAATAAAAATTTTTGAAAAACAGATAAAAAGACACTCCTCCATAATATTTTCAGTATAAACAGATCCATGTTTTAAGATATTCTCCCTCTTTGATTCTTTAATAGATATTTTGCCAAGAATACCTATGACAGATCATGGCATTCTTTTTTTTTTTTTTATTGAGTTTATTGGTACATTTAGGGATACAGTACAGTTACATTCATTGTTGGGATCATGTACCTTTACATGGCAAGTCTTGATTCTCATTTTTTTCCCCTTACCTCTGCCCTCCCTTCACCCCCTCCTCCCCTACCCCTTACCTGCCCTCCCTTCACCCCCTCCTCCCCTCCCCATCTACAAACACTTTATTTTCATCTTTTCATTCTCTCACATTTTTTTCTTTTCCCTTTTTGTTCTTCCCCTACGTATCACACCTTCCCTACACCTTTAGCGCTTTTC